TAGTCTGAGCCATGTTGACAGATGCAGACTACCTGGTTGGGGTCCGCGTGACTATCGTAACCAATGGTTGGAGACTCTAGGTGACATGGCTCAGAATCGGTCACAATGGCGTAGGTGTATACACTCTTTATCTTCCCTTAAACCTTGAGACTAAAATTGCTTCATATCTCTCTTCCTTCCTATACTATATCCTTATATACAACCTATAATTTATATACTACTACCACCACTACATTAATTACTTCTATGAATCCGGTGTTCCTCTTGTTGTGCTAACGAGGTATGGCAACTTGGACCGATGCATATATGTGCCTGGTCCTACGTTGTAGCTGACCTGACCTGAGTTCAATCCTAATGGGTCTTGTTAGTGTACTTTTCCTGCGTCCATTGAGGCGCAGACAAATGCGCGCTCGTATTAAAGCGTGATCAGAGTCTAAACAAGTATTCCAATACGAGCGACAATCTTCTATTGAGCCTCTCCAACGATGACTGATGACAATATGGTCTATTTGAGTCCATCGTTGGTTTGGTGCAGGTGGTCGCCATGTTAGACGATGTCTCTCCTTATGTTTAAAATTAGTGCTTGCTAAAAATAAACGATTGTCTGAGCATAGTTGCAACAGACGATCACCATTATCGGTTCGTTGAGCCGGAATACTAAAACACCCACCTAAATGTCTTTCTGTTTTATTCAAGCTGCCTACCTGGGCATTAAAGTCACCCGCTACGACTACTATGTCTGAGCGCTTAGCTTTCTGAAGAAGCTCAGAGAGCTTTCTGTAAAAGTCATCTTTCACTTCATCATGGTTGCAGTCGGTGGGAGCGTAGGCAGAAACGACGAAAAGGCAACGACGTGTATCCCTATCCTTCCGAGTTCTTACGGAGCCATTCAGCCGGACAGCACACAGGCGACTGTTAACGGGGATCCATTCTAATAGTGCCTGTTCTGCCCTTGTATTTAGTGCTATGCCTACACCTGCAAGTCCGCGAGAACTAGCCAACGGGTCGCCAGATACACGGAGGGTGTATTTCGTTGGTTGTCCATTTTGGCGAGGTGAGGTCAAGTGAATGACCACACTGGGATCCTGTATGCGTGTTTCGGAGACACAGCATACATCAATGGTACGAGATTCTAGGGTTTTAGCTAAGGAGGCTTGTTGACCGATTTGGCATAGGGTACGTACGTTGAAGGCTCCAATGTGTAGTTTGGAGCGAGGTTTAAGTAGACCTGGGACAGCGTTTCGCGCACTAGAATCGTTGGCCATGGTGACACTTGAGGAGGAAACCGGAACAGGAAGTTTAGTGTTGAAAGTCAAGGTAGAAGGAATAGTAGGAATTGAAGGAGATTGATTATGAATACGGTGGTCTTGAGTGCTGTTAGGGGTATGAGGGCAGTTATCACTTCCCGGTTGCCCACACCGTGGAAGGGTTCTTCTGGGGGTACCTGAAAAGGAAATTGGGTTAGAAGTGGTCTTAATGACCTGAGAGCGTGACCGCAGTGCCCAAGGGACAACTGCTTGAGGTCGGTCACACACGACCTTTTTGTGGGTAGTTTTTGTGTTAGCTCCGTTCTTCAAAAAAACCTTACCGCCGGAGACGGATATCCGTGGGATAAGGCGAGGTGTGCATTTTTAGGGCCGACCTTTTCTAACCCCACCCCTCCTTGTGGGAAGGCAGCATCGCTGTCATGCTGGTTGTCTGAAGGAAACACCTTACTGCCGTCACACCTCTGTACAGTCGACAGTACGACTTCGCCTTCGGACCTTGGGTTTGCTGCTTTTAGTCTCACCGCTCTTCAACCGACCTGTCTGGCATGGTAGGACCTCGAGGAACGATTGTTCCAGCCAGCATAGCTAGATTGCTTCATCACGATGGGCAAGCCCGACCACCACGTCAAGGTAGCAGCAACGGTCGGGTCCTCTAGTTATCGCTCTTGCTGAGATCGCCTTTCTTTGGTATCTTGATTAGAAGTCCATCTGACTGGTCCCAATCACTGATTGTGCCAGTCTATAAGAAAGGACAAAATTCCTCCTGTGACAATTACAGAGGAATCAGTTTGACTAATATAGTGTCTAAAATATTAGCTTCAATAATACTTAGGCGCCTAACCAAAGCTCGTGAAGAGCGGACTAGAGAAAACCAGGCTGGTTTTCGACCTGGACGTGGTTGCATAGACCAGATATTCACTCTACGTCAGGTCCTAAAACATAGACATACATTTAGACGTCCCAAAATAGTAGTATTTCTTGACCTTAAGGCGGCATTTGACTCAGTTGATCGTGAGGTTCTATGGCAGTGTTTGTCAGTGAAAGGAGTATCAAAGAAGTACATTAACCTCATAAAGGCTCTCTACTCGAACACAACTGGTCGAGTTAGAGCCTATGGCGACCTGTCATCAGAATTGGTTACCTCAAGTGGTGTTCGTCAGGACTGTCCACTCTCCTCATTCTTGTTTAACTTTGTCGTTGACATGCTTTTAGAGATAGCACTTTCATCAGCTAAATCTCCTGGAGTTGAACTTTTACCAGGAGGCTCACTTGTTGACTTAGAATACGCCGACGACATAGTTTTATTCGGTGAAGACGCTGACAAAATTCAGAGTCTTCTGACCACTATAAGCAACAATGCTGGCATGATCGGGTTGCGATTCTCTCCCTCGAAGTGCAAAATGTTACTTCAGGATTGGGTTGCATCGACACCTGAACTAATGATAGGGAGTGAAGTAGTTGAGCGTGTTGACAGCTTCACTTATATTGGGAGTCTCATCAGCCCTTGTGGTTTGGTGTATGACGAAATCTCAGCACGGATACAGAAGGCTCGTCTAGCTTTTGCCAACTTGCGCCATTTATGGCGTAGGCGAGATATTCGTCTAGCAACAAAAGGACGGGTTTACTGTGCAGCAGTCCGTTCTGTCCTACTTTATGGCAGTGAAACATGGCCGATAAGAGTAGAGGATATTCGTAGGCTACTAGTATTCGATCATAGGTGTCTTCGACTCATTTCTCGTATATCCTGGGACCACCGGGTTAGTAATGCAGTTGTTAGGAAACGGGTACTAGGTAAGGATGGCAAATCGATTAATGAAGTAGTGAAACTTCATCAGCTGAGACATGTGTTACGTATGCCCAACCACCGACTGCCCCGACGTGCAATGCTTTATGGTGTAGGAGGAGGTTGGAAGAAATCTAGGGGCGGCCAGACCAAAACATGGCACAAATCTATGAAGTCACTGACAAGTGGACTGGGCCGTGTTGGTAGGTGTAGACTACCTGGTTGGGATTCGCGAGATGATAGCAACCGATGGTTAGAGTCCTTGAATGACATGGCTCAAAATCGTTTGCAATGGCGCAGGTGCATCCACTCTTTGTGTTCTACCAAATTCTAATCTTCTGAATTCTTCATGTCCCTTTCATTTTTCGCTCCCCAAGTTTATTTCACTGGATTATACTCATTGAATAACATCTTCAAACCCTAATCTTTCTGGTTAATTCCTATACTCTTACTACTTCTACCACGATGGGATTTGAACTGACAACTGCATCTCTGTGCTAATGTGGTATGACAACTCAAACAGGAGTATGTACGTACGAAGTTCTACGTTGTAACTGACTGACTGACTGACTGACTTGTAAACACTTCATCGTTACTTGTGATCTAGTAGCTTCATTCGTTAATATACTTGGTAACTAAATAAATATAATGAATACTCAAGATTGTGAAAACCAGGGTATAAATACACTCAGTTGTGACTGTTTTTAGGAAATACCATACAACCTACAGTAGAACATGTATAGTCTGGCTTCCTATTTATCTAGTTTTGTAGCCTTTCCATACTGTTTCATGAACTATTGTAGAGTACTTTGTCCATGAATACTTGAAACGTTTTAGTGGTTATTATCTATAGAGTCATAAGGTATTTATAAAGACCCCCATAAATATGTCAAGCTTCGCCGTTTCATATGTTAGTGTAAATTTGCGAGTCTTAAGAATAATATGGATGTCCTAGCTAGTTTACACTTCCCCATTCACATGCCCTAATATTTGCCCCCTAATGCCCTGGTACGGCCGAGAGTGGAGAGAGTCCGCTCTCCCTCTCGAAATGCTCTCACATGGCCACGCGTATATAGCCCCTGCCAGTTAATTCCTACTCACTGCCTTCTCATGGCGGGGGTGTTGTTCACGAAAGTGAGAGGACGAAAAGCGAATGTTCGGCGCTTTAACCGGGTTGGTGGACACGGCGCGTCCACCTAGGGGAGTTGGAAAACCCTGATTCCTAATCAATGGTGCACATGGGCTCCAGTATCCTGAAGGAAAAAATGGCGTATGAACCAATTGTTGGTCACCAGCTACCATGGGACTGCATCTCCTCACGATGCTCCACTGCCTTGTGGATGAGACCTTTAGGTCAAAGGCTCGGATTGTGGCTCCCTAAGAAAACTACCTGCTTCAGTTTGGGCATCCGGGCAGTATCACAGCCCTCACACAAATAAATGAAATGATGACCTGTACTGACAATCTTATTTACGCACTAATATTTCCATTATTCTTTAACATCATTGTCCTAAATAAGATCTGGTAACGAATCCTTTTGGTTTACATTTTTTACAGCATATAAAAGTATTGAGAATGAAAAGTCTCAAGTAACTGATCGTTTTGTACAAATCAGCTACTCTGTAAATTAAGTATAAGTCAATTATTTTGGATTGAATCTTATGTCGTCGTATCACTACTTGAACTGTGTTGAGTTTTTATGTGACTATCTGTTTCTAAAAGTAACGCTTACAAAAAGTCATCAGAGGTAACTTGAAATGTTAATCAATCTTCATTAATCATTTTAAAGGGTTACCATTTTTCATGACCAGCTTTTATGTGATCAACGTTGAAAGGTAATTTAGATATATGCATAACCACTAACTACCGTAAACTACTGATTAGATTTACTTATCTCCTAATATGCACTAGTATCATAGTGCGACAAACTAAGTAGAACTAATACTTAGATGATGGAGAGTAAAAAATTCAAACCCTTCGATACAGTCGTAAACTTTAACGAAGACTTCATTTCAGGTAGTTTTCAATTCAAATTGAATTTATCCAATTTTAGATTCCGAAGCACACATTAAGACAAGTTCTTCAAAATATGGTTTTTGTACCAAAGACGTACAAAGATCGCAGTCGCTAAATAGTACTGCTGCTCTAGGATCATTCATTCAGGGTCGGGACAAAGACCGAAAACTTTTAGATCTAAATGTTACTGCAAACCTTCAGAGTCCTGAGAACAAAAACTTATTTCAAAACTCATGTTCCCCCAGTAAACCGCTAAGATTTATAGGTTATCGACCCATATTCAGTTCTGCAAATTATATAGACTTATATTCTTCCAATAATTATAATCGTCTCAAACCTGTCGAATTATCATTTCTAGGTTCTCCTCTCTTCAGTTCTTCGACCCATCCCTATTATTCAGATGGCCGTGTTTATAACACCACCAAACAACAAGCTATTCTTGTATCAAGCTCTTTTACCAACAAGTCCGAGAAGAAACGTATAAGATCACTTTCTGAATTATCGCTTCAACACGTCTATCATAAGGAGAGAAGAAGCGAAGCTGAGACAGGCGTTCATTCGTCTTATAATCATTATGGAAAGGGACTGAATTACCTTCAGCAAGAGCTTATGGCGCGCACTGAAAAGGCAGATAAGATTGCGCATGAAATTATACTGGTGAGGAATGAAGAAAAACAATTTGATGAGCATTTACAGGAACTAACAAGAGATGGTTCTGCTAAGACAGATACTATTAGTAGGTTGAAAGAAAAAGTTTCTGAGCTATATGAGGAAGTGGAGTCCCTTCGACATTCTCATCAACAAGCCATCTATCACCAAAAAGATTTACAGAAAGAGATCGATACTTTGAAGTGCTCGCGTGATTGGTACGCAGACCAGCTTCGTTCAGCTCAGTGTGTTCGTGATCGTATCCAAAACGAACCTGAAAAAATTATCAACTTAATAAGGGATAGCAGTGAAATAAATCATCGTTTAGCGCATGAAAATGCATGTTTGCGAGCTCAGTTAGCATGTAGCAAGGCCGCCTTAGCTGATGCTAAACGAAATCTCTCTCGCCAGTTAGAATCTATCCGTGTTGACATGGTAGAACGTGAAGCCATTTTTGAGCGTATTACTGCTGAACGGGCTCTTTTTGAGAACATCAGTCGTCAGCGCGCTGATGAGATAAGGGAATTACAAACTCAGGTATCGAATTTTCAAATGGAACTTAAGGCTACTGAAGAGCTTATTTCGCTTCAGAAGAGTAAGTTATTAGATGCCGAAGAGGCCTTGGCAGTTGCAGAAAGAAAACGCTATGAATTACAAAGCCAGTTAGAATCCTTTGAGAGAGAACAGTTTACGAAGGAAAACTATCTAGATGACCAAATCTCTAGATATGGTATCATCTTAGAAAGTCTAAAAGATTATGAAAACGGTCATAAAAGTAAGGGCATCTTGATTGATGAGATTCTCGAAGAAAAAGCCACACTCACTGCAGCTCTCTCAGCCTCACAATATGAAAAAGAGACATTGAATAAATACTTGATAAATTTGAAGGATAACTTGTTCAGAGTAGAAGAAAGTTTCGGCATCCTTAGACGTGAAATCGAATTCAAGTCTGCACAAATTGTGGAGCTCACCACTCAACGAGACAATATGGCTGACAAAATTAAATTTCTTTATGACCAGTTAAGTGATTACTGGAAAGTGATTGAAAAGTTAAGGCAAGAAAACGAAGAATCAAATTCTTCCTTAAAGGTTTTGCTGATGGGAACTGAATATTCCCACAGCAATCTAAACAAATTGAATTTTTCACTCCAAATGGTTGACGGTGGCTTTGAAACTGTTGCCAAATTAAAACATGTAGGATCGAGTTCTCCTTTACCGAGTCAGATAATTACTAAACAACTTACACTTGAGTCGCAGACCATCCATTTCTTCCCAGTTGAAATGGCGACCTTTACAAGTCAATCAAATACTGCTTCTTTACCGTCTTCAGTAAATAATTTAAGTAATTCAAATGCTACACATTCTTTACACATTGAAATGAATAAAGATAGTTGTTGGCAAAATATGGATCTAAATACAAGATTATCCAGTGATACTGCTAGTGACGTACCTCCAATTTCGCAAAATACAAACGGTGTACCTGATTCTAATTACGACATCCAAAATAACGACTCGAACTCACAGGAAAACTATCCCAAAACACCTTTAGGTTTTGATAAAAATATATTTTGCTCAACGGATCCATCGTCTTTAGTTTCTGTTCATGTTTTGTCTTCATACGAGGAAAATCAAGTGAGAATAAATCAAAAAGTTCGTAATTCAAATAATCAGTGTTCTCTTGAAACCTGGCGATATATACAACAGTCACCAGATAGCCAGAATGTTGCTAATGTGGATTCTGGCTTTCACATTTCAGACACCTGTATAACAACCAATCAGATATATTCTCCGGATAATCAACAACGTAATATACCTCATTTAAATCTATATTTCCATGATAGTCTGGACCATACTGATGAGTATAAATCCAATGTACAACAAGATAATTCGTACACGTGTCTATCTAAAGGCGAATGTTCCTCGGATTTCAGTTGTGGTATTACAAATCGTAGAAACAACATTTTAGTTCCTAGAGCCAGTTCACCTTTGGACCACACAACCAATAATCTGAACTGTGATACAACTTATACAGACCCATTAGTTATATCAGAACAAGAAGTTGCGGAAGATTCTATTCACAACTCTGATCAATTATCTCAACAAAATGTTTGCTTTACTAACAGAAATGATACTTATACGATCTTATCTACGGAGCAGGATACCAGCCGTAAATGTGCTGTTACTGAGGTCCAAAATATTCATGCAAATGATTGGACAGGTAAGGAGTCATCTAGTTGCTCCAGTAATTGCCGTGTTAAGATAAATGAAAGGGAAATACCAGTTAAGTTGACAGATTATTTTCCAAGTGATCATCAGGGGAACCAGACGAATGAAGTTTTGCACATTCAGAATGTAGCCACTACCTTACCACTTGTCACTGAAACTCCAGAGTCAATACTATATAGCTGTTCATCACATGAAAATTCGAACCTGACTGAATTTAATGAAAGTAAAACAAAAAGACTGAAATTATATGAAGTTGGGAGATCAAATCAGTCAACAGTCATTTCTAAAAAAGGTGATCATGAATACTGCTCATGTTCTGTCCCTTCTGAAACACCGAATGATTCATTTGACTTAAGAATATGCAATACCCGTCAGTCTGATATCAATACTTGTTCTTCAGCACACATATATGATACATCTGAAGCTTTTCTTCTGTCTACTTTCGATGAACTGAACTGTGTGAAACGTGAGAGGGACAGTCTTTCCGAACATGTTTCGGTCTTGCAAAATGATTTAGCCAAGGCTGTTGTTAACTTAACAACATATCAGAAAGAAGCAGAAATACAGACGCTTAATGCTGAACGCGAAAAAGTCGCCCATCAACAAACACTAGAGGCTCATCAACTTACTATTGTGGAACTTAATAATGCTAAAGCCGAACTTTTTAACGTGCAAAAGTTAGTTGGTGAACTTCGTCAAGAAGTTATCTCTTCAAAAGAAGAAGTGGCATTATTGCGGGCGCACGAAGATGAGAATCGTTCTCTCTATGAAACGGAAATCAATTCACTAAAATCAATTGTTAAGGTATATCCTATTTTATTTGAAAATATTAATCCTTGTTTTTATCATGCACATAAGCCGATGAGTTTTTGCATCAATATAAGCAGATTCTATCTCATATTTTTCATTTTTATTTTGGTCACTGAGTTCATAAACCGATCTTTTTTGTGATTTTCATCTATTTGTGTTAATAAACTTCAACATACAACTACACTGTAAGTAGTCTTGCAACGTGTTTACTGTTCTTTGTAATCAGCATTACAAATTTCCGTGTAAGTATTGTAATGATGTTTGGATAAAGATGGTGAGACTAAGTACCACGCTGTCCCGTGGTTATAGTATTGTAATGTCGGTTACTATGTTAAGCCCACATAATTTATTCTAGCTTTTGGACAAACCAATTTATCCACCCTTCTTGAGTTACTTTTTGACCTTGTCGATCACTCTCTTATTAATCCTAGCTGTTTTTATATAAGCGTATGTCTGTGCATTTCTTATCTTACTCATCATACGTCTGGAACTTCTTTTTGTTCGACTATAAATATCGATTTACGCTTTGCCGAATTGAATTGGCTCATTCGCCTTCCCCATTGCGCATTGTTTTGTTTTGCTCCGCCTTCCGACCAACGATCGCACGAAAAATCCATTCTCATGTTTGGTCAGATTAAGGGGCACTAAAGTATCCTGTCTATTCTGTTTTAATGTAATCTATGTTTATTATTTAAAATCTCACCTAGTAGTATTTAGTGATGTGAATAGTTTTTTCTGGTTAACGTTTTTTTAACGAGTTGGTTTTCTACTGGATGGGGTCGCTAACCCCATGCCCAGCCCTTCTCCTTTATCCGGGCTTGGAACTGGCAGTAGCCCCCGGAGGAGCTACAGACGGAGTTTTAATATTTAATAGTAGCTTTTAAAACATTGTAATTGTTTAGTAATTCAAAAGAATAACTATGGGACTTTTTAACTTATAGGTAACTAGCGATCACCTATCAACACTGGCAGAATCACTCCATAGTGCGCTGAGTGAAAAAGCTATACTGCAGAAGGAATTTAATCATTTGAAAAGTAGGATTCATGGTCAGTTACAGAAATTTCGTTTATTTACTCGTTTGGAGTTATATAGCGAATCTAAAATAGTCAACCAAAGTTCTTTTGCTTCATTAGCTGCTCTTGGAATTAATTTAGAAAATCTGGCTAATGATAATTCTCAGATGACTTTTCATGCAAAGTAAGATAAATTTCACATAACCTATGTGTTTACACTTAATATTTTGTTTTGGATTGCACTATTCACTGGGTTCACAGATTCATCTCAGCCACTTTAGTATCCCTGTATCGTACCATAAAGTATGCTTTTCAACCGGATCTCATTCATTAGTCTCACATAACCTGTTCAATTAAATAACTTTGCTAATTCAAAAATACTAGGATGAACGTTTATCTATCCTTTATTTCGTATGTAGACAACCTAACCATTAAAAAACGTGTGTTGAAAGGCAGATTGTTGTGATACGTAAATAGCCTTCAGTTAAAGCATAATTCCTCACTTGTGATCATTGTAATAAACAACGATAGGTATGGTAAGCTAAATAAATGTCAGAATTACAGATAAACAAACTATTTTCTGCGGTCTGTTGTAAGAAATTCAGTGTCTTCAGCAAATAATGACCAATGTACGTTAAAAAAAGTACCATGCTGTTTAATGCAGTCCAACATTATTCTTATGATGAAACCTAACCTATTGTTTTCATCATTGAAGAGTGATTCATTAAGGAAATCTTGCTTCAATTTTCATCACATATACATTTACTAATAAGTCGTTTTTTTTGGGAAAAATTTTTCAGAGGCATACCTGAAGATAACGTTAACTGGAACTTAAAAAAGTGTCGAAATATTAGAACCACATTCAGTTGTGCAGATTTTTACACCCTCAAAAATCACATGAAAAGTGCATTGACAGTTGTGCCTCGTGCAACTATTCAAATAAATGAATCGGTTAACTTTACCGAATCATTCTAGCGATGCATAGAAAAATATTGTTGAAATATCGTACCAAGGAATGCGTCACTCAAAGCAAATTCATTTAATTGTTCTACCAGTTGTTAATAGGATAGAATTCTAACAATTGCATTCTTAGTGTGAGCTCAAATCTGAATGTGGCAATCGATTCATTTTTAACTAATCAGAGATAATAGACGGATCAAGAACATACTAAAGATTTGTCATATAAACTATGTATGAATTCTTGTGTTTGTAATTTTTTTTCGGCTCCTTGGAATATATCTTGTTCCCAGCTTATTCGTATGTACTTTGAGTCGAGTAAAGTGAATTTGCTAAAGAATACTAGACAAGTCGTAAGTTGATACTGGGACGCTTTGTGTTAAAAAGAACATTTTGGATATCATCCCCTACATATACCAATCTTATTTAAATGTTAAGGGATCAAATCTTTAAAAAATATTATTTATTTAATTTAGGGAGATCCCAAAATCTATTGAATCTCTTTTTATAGGTCACTTCGTAAATTTAATCCAACCTTCAAATCTCTTCGAACAGAAATAACAAAACTTGAAAATGATCTGCTCAGTCGTAATATGCTTGCCAGTGATTCAGCTCAAAATAAATAGTAAGCGAATAGATTGTTTTGCGATAAGTCTTCCATGTTAGTTATCCAGTGTAAACTGAATTATGAGTTAAATGTATCTTCTAAGGATTTGATTCAAATGCACACTCATTTTGTGTACACTAAGTAGTCTCTGGATAGTAATCAGTACACCGTTAAATTCACATTAGACAAGATCCTGTCTGGTAAGTTTGTAACGCATGTAGTAGATAAATAAAAAAAGTTGATGTAGTAATGTTCGTTATATAGTGTTGAAATGGCTTACTGGATTCATGTGATTTTTAAAGTATGATTTACGCCTACGTTTTATGCATTTCTTTCTTGATGAGTGCTAACTAGCGTGAAACATACATCTAAAGATTTTTGTTGATTACTCATTGTGGAAAAGGATTAATTACAATATACCGCATGACGTCAAGTCGCTGCTTATATACTGAAAACTGGTATGTTAATGGTTACTCTCTAGGGACCAAATAGTCTTAACTGACAATATTTTTAACATTGCCGATTAATGATAAAAGTTCAGGTCTTTAGAAAAGCGCCAGTCTCCTCAAAATATTGCGAATAAATTTTGCTGTGAAGACCTAGTCTCCTACCATTTACGTGAGTTCTTGTTGTATCGGATTTTAAGATATCTGTTTCTCCATAAAATCCAGGTCATCGCATCAGATAATACAAACGTATCAAAATAGAACCTTAATCATGTTATAAATGAGTTAGACTTTTACAATAAATAATCGTAGGCATTAACTATATGATATTAGTCAGTCATAAGCAGTGTGAAAGATGTCACATATATACGCCGGGTCAAGTTGACATGCTTAATCAATATTAACATAATACGACCAAATTTAGAAGATGATATGAAATAAGAAAGTATGAAATATTATTCGAACTGAAGATTTAGAAGATGAAAATGAATACATTCATACCATTCCATCTGATTTTGAGCCATGTCTAATTCAAGTCACACCTTATCATTTTCCATCTTTGCTATTCAACATACATCACGTCACAGTAAGCAGCCACCACGCATGCGTAGTTTGTGTGCCGAACGTCCTTAAGCGAAGAAAATTCGCTACCTCACCTACATGACTTATGGTTAAGTTAGTTCCTTACGCTTAATTTCAGCGTTCCTTACACGGCGGTTCCACTATGCGTAATTAGTATTTCGGGGATATTTTATCGTCAAATACCAGCAACCTTCAAAGGTTATGTTTCATAGCCGTAATAATAATGCAATGAATTGCTACCCGATATACTCTCCGTGTGATAAACAGATTTTCTCTTCGTAGTTCTCTCAGAAATTCAACTTATTAATGAAACTAGTTTTTAGGGCCTTGTCTGTCAATTTTTTAACTTGTATCTAACTTAAAGACAACTCTACCGATGTTATGGACTCATACCTAAATCCCAATGAAATAAAGATTGATCCAACTAATTACGATCGAATAATATAAGATGTTGTTTTCGAATTCAATTGAGAGCTGATGTTAAATATAATCAACTAAGCTATCTACTTATTTTTCAATCACATGAAAATTTTACTGTACTAATTAGTATTATCATTCATTGTTTTGTCTCTCTTTTAGGTCATCAGTTGATATGATATACGTTTTCATTCATATGGCATTTACTTTTAAAACGCACTGCCTCAAGGTGATTTCAATTTTTTCATACTTATCTGTTTTATAGATTTCAGTGAACAATTTAGTAAATTTCATATGCACACATGTACGCAATCTCTCCACATGCATACAACATATGTGATGTACACTTATAGTTTGTTTGATTTTCTCTATGATTGTATTTTTTGCTTATTTTTGTCATCGTGAAGATCACTTCAGTCTTTCACTTTTAGATTCATAAATAATCTTTTAATATTAGCAGTATTTCTTTAAATAATTATGAACTCAGTAAAACAATCTGTTGTGTGTGAGTTAATTTCATTATACTAATTATTTTGTATTGTTCAGACCTAACTTCACAATGAGTTATTTTGCTTTTGCTTTGTCTTAAAAACTTTGCTTTGTTTTTTGTATGTGATGAAGTGAGGGTATTTTAATGTCTTTAGATGACCATGTTTATTTTATGTATTTATGTATTTATACTCTGGTTAGTATTCTATTTTCTAACTTCTGTGCTGATATGCAAATCAGTCCATTACATGCCTGATTCTCAAGTGATTCCATCTCAGACCATATTTTTGAACAACTAAGTTCCATGTTTTAATTATGTCACCAATTGATCTACGGAGTTTCCTAAATTTTTAGGCTAATAGATTAATGTTTCTGGTATTGAAAAAAAGTGCATCGTAATTAATTACCAGTATCGTGGAGTAGATCCTGACTGGTACTGTTCATATATTCATGCCTTGGTACGGTCGAGGGTGGGGAGAGTCTGCGAATGTCCGGCGCTTTAACTGGGTTGGTGGACACGGCGCGTCCACCTAGGGGAGTTGGAAAACCCTGATTCCCAACCAATGGTGCACATGGGCTCCAGTATCCTGAAGGAAAAAATGGCGTATGAACCAATTGTTGGTCACCAGCTACCATGGGACTGCATCTTCTTACGTTGCTCTACTGCCTTGTGGATGAGACCTTTAGGTCAAGGGCTCGGATTGTGGCTCCCTAAGAAAACCACCTGCTTTGGTTTTGACACCCGGACAGTATCACATCCTACACCCAAATCAAGTGACTTGTGTTGCCCATATGTATTCGATGCCCTTTTGTACCAATATTTATGTGTCCAAATAAATAAATATGATTGGTTCTTGACTATGAAATTCTAATATATATATTTCCTCAGTTAGTAATTGGATACTGAAGTGTGCACACTTCCACAGTCTTCGAATAGCATTAAGATAAGTAAGATATTTGATAAATGGGACTACGTATTTGTGTTATTTCATTTTCATTATATCACTCCCAAATAACTAACTGTTGTTAGTGTAAAACTACCAAGGTTTCTGAATAAATTGGTGCTAATTCGTTTCTTTAATTACACTTTCTTGTGTTCAAAGCTGGTTGATCTCACATTTTACGCTTCAGTTAATCAAATTTGCTAGTTTGATGGACTTATATATATATATAAGATGAAAAAGTTTTCACTTTAAATACTGTCTGAATTGATTTTCATTGTAAACAATATGTGTTCAGTTATTAAATCAAGAATTCTATTTTAGTAACATGATAATAAAGGTTAGTGAAATATTATGCTTCCCTGAAGGAAATATAAGAATTAGTAGGGAAAAAATATATAAGCAACGTGTATTTGTTGTTTGGTATAATTGCTAGCCTACAGTAAACTCATGCATATCAATTAAGAGACTTCCTGTGAATAATAAAATAGTCTTCTGTTGTTTTTGTTAGCACTGGTTACGTAGCCATTAATTTTGAGCGAATTAAAAGATCACCTTAGAATAACTGTTTTAATATTTTAAACAATCATAATAGGTTTTTCGGATTACACTCAGTCAATAGTTTTCTTTTTCTATAAAAAAGATTAGCTTAAATGCAGGAGCTGTTGCTACGTATATTTGATTGAAACCAGAAGTTCATATTTCGTATGAATTGTAAGGAGCGGTGAAAATAATACCAGCTCATAGAAAACTTGAGCATCGACTGGTTACGTCTAAAATGATATTATTGCTACTCAAAAAGCGATTACTTAACTTAATACTAGTCACATTGGATGATTTACATGTAACTATTCAAGTTTCTGGACGTTAATGCTATAATGGATGATAATTAATGAATACATAGCTGAGTTGATAGATCGCCTAATTTTTCACGAAACTCAGGACAAAATACCAACCAAGTTAAAGTCAAAAGACTACTAGTGATCAGTTAAATGAATTGAAATCGTCATGTATATACGAACCATCCAACTAATATGATTTCAGTAAAGGTGCACTTCCCCATGTTGTATCACTCGAACAACGACTTTTGCGACTAGTTTCTTCAGTCGGGCTCTTTTTTGCATATACCGAAATTCACGCCTTAGATAAGGTCACTTATAGAGTGTCATTTTAATCGTCTCTCAAATGTCTATCATGTCTAGTTCATAGTAATAATCAGATTTGGTAGACTAGTTTGTAAGGTGAACACTAGCTTAAGCGACCCAACACCTCAGTGCTGTACATTTGATGTTAGATGATAGAAGACATTTGATAGAAAAAAAGTGGACTAATTCCAATGATAATTATACGGGGTAGTCTGTTCGAACTCCACAAAGAGCATCATTTTCCCCAAGATTGAGAATGTCTATTATTGATGAGTATCAACTATCACCAAATTTAGGCCCAAGACCACTTGTAAATCACCACATACTACCCAAAACAATTCGTAACATAAGGTTAAACATATTGCTCGATACTCTATGATTTCCAGTATTTATTCAATAAGTGATAATTTTCAATACAAACTATCACTAAATTTTATGCTTAGCTATGATCTTGATTAATTTTATGTAGTGTTTGACGGAATTCTGATTCTGATTTCTTTTATACGATTCATCTACAAGTATCTGATTAAATTGTCGCCTAGTGACCAGTTTCAGTTGAAAGTATTTTTAAAGAACCTTTAGTAAAATAAAATATCTTCATTCTGTTTCGATTTCTGGTCAGACGTTTCACATAATAAAAACAGGGCTTTTTGACCTATGTAGAGCAACGTAATTATATCCATGATTGCGAAGTGGTGGTTTTCTGTTATCTAGATTTCGAATTCACCAGCAGAAGTGATTTATTAATCAATTATATCAAAAATGAATGTCTAAGTCAGGCTAGAATATTTGAGAAGATAGTATAACAATGTTAGCCGATCGCTCTCCCTCTTACTCGTCACATATATTCTATATACTGTAAAATTTTCAATCTAAATTTAATCTTTCTGCATACTGATCAATCTTCCGATACCTTACTCAATCACCTCGTGGAAACCATATTTGTTTTTAAATAAGGTGTATTAAATTACTTATCTCTGTGGGGTTTAGTTGTAATACATTTACCTCTCTACATATCGAAAAAATATTCGCTCTCACTATTATACTTTAATATTTTCATTTATCATTAATGGATTTTATATCGTGTGAACTACACTACTTAAAATCTGTTTTCATTTTACTAGCAGTTCCGTCGTATCCATATGCCATATTTTTTCTACACATTAAAAATCGGCAATTCTAGTGCCTAATGATTTGCTTCCTGGAATGTACCGATCTTAACTAGTATAATACCGAACTCAATTAAACAGTATGAATCACTAAATGTTGCTCAATGTACAAATTATTTTGAAAGTATCTTATCAGTATTAATACCCTAATGTGTTCATTATCATAGTTATTTGTTTACTTTGTAGCAATTAGTATTGTTAAACATGTATTTTGTTCTAAATTCTGGATAGGTGAATTATTCCAATCTTTAGATTTATTGTCAGCTATAATATTCGGCCATGTTAAATACTCACTTATAACCATGAATGTGTGTGTATGATAGTACATACCTATTCACTCTCTTTATTTCGTACATGAATTATAAAAACTTAGCCATCTTATTGTTCTCTGAGTTGTCTAAATTGTACTGAGATGTATTTATCAATAATAATTCAACAAATTACTGTGCGAGCACATATTTGTCACATTATACGATTGAGCAACTGTAGTCCTTCTTTAAATCTAAATACGTATCACATACGACTGGAAAAATCATTTTCACATATTGGTCCCAGTCCAATCGATTAAGCTATTAGTCACCATAGTTTCAATATCTTCATTGATGTTCTGAGCTCTAACAGTACAGCATTACAGCAAAGCATGAGTGAATACTTGAATAAAGTCGTCCTGTACTCCATGAATTTTAATTACGAGATACATGTTTATCTACTCGGTCATTATTTGCTTTTCGCATGTAGGATATTAAAACTAAACAGCTAATCAAAACGAGTTAGGTGGGTTAATGTTTGAGTATTCAAATTACCGGTTGCAAATTAGGCACTTAGAGCATTATAACACTTTTTAACACTCCACCTTATTATGTTATCAGTATTTAAAACGAGACAAAACTTTTGATTGAAAACTTTCTTGTTTAGCTGCCTAGTAGCTTTATTAGCTAACATGTGAAGAATGAAAAATTGTCTGTCTTCATTGAATTCAAATCTTTGATAAAAGCATAGAATTTAAACTTATATCTGGATTCACCTCTCAAATCAGACTATATGGATTGTATAAAATGTTTTTAATGTGGACAGTGTTTTTGGAGTGAACGACCTTATACTTAATATTGTATCATATGTTGAAATGGTAAAATAACCGGCAATGTATAGAATTCATCATTTGCACAATAATATTTCACTGAAATGCCTATCACGTTTGCTTTATGGTAGGTGAAAACACTTCATTCAAAAACTTAATTTATATATTTGAAGAAGGTCCATTCATGACAGGTATTCATCACATCACATATTTTGTTAACTGACTTTCATTTTATAATGCTAACCAAAAGAATGTATTGCATTTTACTTCCACAAGCTCACACGGAATACAAAGCAGCATTTTCTAGAGATCTCTGTATACACAGTAATAATGACACGAGGATTCGATACCTAATTG